ATTATTATTATTATTATTATTATTATTATTATTATTATTATTATTATCGTTCTCATCTTCTTCACTACCCCCTCTTATTGGTATCATTATTATAATTATTATTACTCTGTTGCTTGGCATTTACACTGAGACCTTCTGCATTGGAGACAAATTCGCTGTGTGTCTAATCACATTTGGCCAAATAAAGTATTGTAATTATAATTCTACTATTCTAATTCTATTAAATTCTTATTATTTTTATTACTTTTATATCTGAATATTTTTCCCATTATACTTTAAATAATTGGTTCTTTCTGTTTTCAGAAATAACAGAAAATGTCTGTTTGGTTAATGGATCAGTTTATAAGGTAAAGAAACTAGTTTTTATTATTCATGTATGTGAATAAAACTGTTTTCTACATTTTCAATTATAAATCAAAAGTTTGGCATGAAGATCCATATTGTACTCTGGATTTCACCATCCCTGTCAGATAAAGGGTTCATTGGCTTGAGCTCTAGGGAATAACAGAGATCTGTGAGGAGGACCCCAAATATCAAGATGGTATTTATGATGGCACAGTCAAAGCCTTTTAAGTCTACATAGGAGAATATTTGTAGCTAAGGTTGAAATGTGGGGTCCTTGGTACTCTCTGAGCTTGGTTGTTTTCTTGTTCTAAGAGGCATGTATAAGTGCACAATTGTGCCTACCGTCCCAGTCCTATTGACCCCATTTATTCCTACCTATTTCCTGTATTCTTACTCATGTTTATACTTATACCTATTATCTTGTAAGCGACTGATAAATCAAATAAATAAATAATAAATAGATATTAATATAACAGTATATGTGACAATAACAAATAAAAGTAAGAAACAAAAACAAAGAAAAAGGGACCAGGATAATAGCCTCAGAGCTGCTCACCCACTGACATTCTTATATAGATATGCACCATTTTTCTTTATCACCTTACATGTCTAATGAAAGAAATATACTGTATATAGGCTTAGTTACAGTAAACACAAACGTGGCCCTTATGAGAATTATATAGAATTATATTCTATAATTTTTTCCCCCAGCCTGAAATGATCGTTCCTGGTAAATCCTGTGAAACATGCACCTGTAGTTCTGTTACGGACCCTGCTACCAAGAGAAATGTTGTGGAATGTAAGCCAGTTACCTGCAACACAGATTGTCCCATGGTAAGAACAAGTCTTTCCTGCCTAAATCTAGTTTAACTGGATTTTTACAGGTGGCTATCTCTCCATCAGTATTAATTCCTAGTGTCTGCCAACAGGGTCATGAGTACCAAATAAAACCTGGTGAATGTTGTGGAACCTGCATCCAAGTGGCTTGCATCATCATCATTAATGGCACTGCTGAGATACTGGAGGTAATATCTTCTCGTTTGTATTGTGCACAAGTGAAATAATATGGTGTTTCTGCACTTTCGCTAATTAATCTGAACTCCTTGTCAAACTGTCACACTGTATGTTTAATGCCTACTTTCTTAGCACTGGCAGATGAGAACAGAATTATCCAAATACGCTAAGCTGTTAAAATGTGACTAGAGCTCAGCATGCTTCCCTCCTAATACAGTATATTGGACTATGCTTCATCTTCTCCAGTCTACAAGACTGGTAGCAACTGGTAGGATAGGAAAATTGGACTAAACTGAAAACCGGTAGTGTTCTATCACCAGGAATAAGCAGACTCGAAGACCGGAGTTGAATTCAGCTCTTTATTAGCAACCAGTAACTTCAACTAAAGTCGAGCCGCGGCAGCCCTTTTTATAGCGGCTGCTCGCGGCTCGCAACCAATGGCATGCATTTAAACTTCCCGCCGCTTTAGGCGATCGGAAACTGTCATTATTAACCAATCATTAAGCTATGTTTTCAACCAATAGGAATGTGGTATTAGAAGTCTATACATGAATACACTACAGGTAGTCCCCAATATATGACCACAATTGGAATTGGAATTTCCATTGCTAAGCGATGTGGCCATTAGGCAAAACGTCATGTTACTGTGCCACTTAGCAAGAGCAGTTCTAATAGTCCTGGTTGCGATCAGGCCAGTGCTATTGAAAGGCGAGGACTTCACATTTCTCTTGCTCTGCCATGCTTGCCTTCACTTCATCTGACTTCTCTTCTCTCCCATTTCTGCCTATTTGGGTACCCTGCATTGTGCCACATACCCCTGCTACTCCCCAGTGACACAGCCCACAGCTGACCTTTGCTGACCTTTTATCTCCTGCTGGTGGCCCTGATTCTAAGCGCTGGACAAGGGTGCAGTTCTGAGATGCATGCAGTGAGAGCACTGGACCTTTGTCAATCAAAGTGGATTTGCCAGGCCCAATCAGGAAGGAGCAGCAGCAGGATGCAAAGCAAAGAGCCAGTGGTGGCTTCCTGAGAAAAAGGACTATGTGGGAGGTTGGTGGGGTGGCAGAATAAAGAGGAGAAAAAAGATGGTGAAGAGGTGGGAGGTACAGTGCACACACTTCAGTCCATGTTGCAAGCCACTGCTAGAAAACCAACCATTCACAAACGAACCTAGGCACTGGCACATGCGCTGCCAGTGCTAGGATATCTAAACAGCCAGGCTCTTCTTGAACAGCACCTGAGGTGTGGAATGCTGGGTGGGGAATTCTGGAAGTTGAAGTCCATACTGTACATCTTAAAGTTCCTGAGGTTGAGAAGCACTAATATATTAAGAACTTTGGTTTATAATTTTGTATTATAAAGTTTACAGTTAAAATAACAGTCCTCTCTCATACTCTCTCTTTCTCTTAATTACAAAAAACAGCCTGGGCAGACAAAAGTGGATAATTGTAAACAGTACAAATGTGAACCCAAGAACAATATGCTAGTTTTGGTTGAGACTATAGAAATGTGCCCTTTCTTTGACCCAGACTGCAAACCTGTAAGTTTTCTATCTCTTTTTATTTATTCTTTTTTTCATTTATGTTCTACATTTGTTGAGTATAATGAATATGTTTTTTTAAAAAAACTCATACTAAAGATCCATATCAAATAGTCATGATCAACATCCATCATTCAAGATTGAGATTAATGTTATCGATTATTCTTTCTAATGATTCTTATTCATAAACACTGAATAACTAACAGTTGCCTCCTATGCAATAAGTTGTGGATCAATTTATTTGTTCAGCAAGAAGAAATGGTGGTGACTAAAGCTAAGAGTGTATCCCACCCCGCATTATCTGGCTCACAATACATTCAGAATGAAAATATGTATATATTCAGTATTAAAAAAATGTGTAAGTTTATTTGGATGAGCAGGGTTATCACGCTTTCCACATTTGGAAACTCAGAGGTAACAACTTGTATTTCTTTATCCACATTATAATCTGGATTAATTTCTGGAATCCATATTATTTTCTGGCAGAAGAGTAGAGGTCACACACTTAGATGAATTAAATTGAAACTGTTGGGTTTTTCTCATTCTTGCCACTAGTGAATTATAGTGGTAATGCTCTTTAGGGTTCTTTTTTTTACAGAATGTGGTGTTCCTCAATGAAAAAAACATTAAATGCTTCTATTAGTAAAACTGTAACTATTCATTGAAATCATTGTTCTTTTACAGAGATAAAAAAATAATGCATTTTCCCACTTCATAAGCAGTAATGTATTAATAAGCAATAACTCATAATCAATTCATAACTTGCTGATTTTGAATCTCCTCTTTGGAAACATTGAAAAATGATAGATTGAAGCATATTGTTATGTAGGTAGTGAAGTTTTAAGGCAATTAATCCCCCCTACTAGAAATAGCTATTTTTACTGTACATCCAGATGTGATATTGATTAAAATAACACAAACTTTCTTTGTTGTCAAAGGATCAAATTGAATGGACTCAAAATGGCTGCTGCAAGATATGCAAAGAGAGTAAGTAAACAAAAATGTAAAAATCCATAGTTCCTAAGGCCTTTATTAAGTACATTTGATAAGTATTACCTCTACCTCATTTAAATTTATGGATCAAAATGTTGAAGAGGGCAGGCCAAGAACTGAATCTTCTGCTATATCATTAGAGATAAATTGTCTCCTGAGATTCCTAAACTTGTTTTTTTCAATTTCTTTTTGCTTATATCTTACATATTATGGATTCTTTTCTATCAGGTCAGCAAAACCTATTCTGTTTATGACGCACATCTTGCACACTTCTCTTAAGTAATACTCCAGTGTTATCAATTATTGAATTCCCAAGAGTGAAAAATGAAGGCTTTGTGTGCTTGTGTAACATTCATCATTATTAGTAGGGCATTGAGCAGATGGCAACATTTGGCATTCCTAATAGAATAGAATAGAATTCTTTATTGGCCAAGTGTGATTGGACACACAAGGGAATTTGTCTTGGTGCAAATGCTCTCAGTTATCTGGATTAAAAAGCTAAGTGGAGTTATACATCATTAACATGTGGATGGGCAGCCACTGGGAATTTCCAAAGTTGTAGGAGAGATTGAGAAGATCAAAAAAAAATAAGTTGGAAGGAAACAAATGGTAGATTATTTCATTAATCAGCAACCACAACAGTAAATATGAAAACTAAGTGAAAAGTAAAATATTTTCTTTTGTTCTCTAATTTCAAATGTCAGTCTACTCATTTCAGCACATTCCAATATTTTCTTAATGATTTCCTCCTGTGATGGTGTTTTCTCATTTTTCCAGTTTTTGGCAAATACAATCCTAGCCACTGTTAATACATTTACAATCAGATATTTCAAGCCTTTACGATATGTTTCAGGTAAAATTCCCAATAAAAATATCTCTGGTTTCAAGTCTATATGTTTTTTTGTCATTTTTTCCAACCACATGTGGATTTTAGTCCAGTATTTTTTAGCATCCGCACAAGTCCACCACTTATGGTAATATGAGCCAGGTGTCTGATGACATTTCCAACATTTTTCGGATTTATTCTTGAACATTCTTGCTATTCTTGTCGGGGGGAAATGCCACCTGTAAAACATCTTATACAAATTTTCTTTATATGCTGTTGACATTGTCATTTTATAATTTTGAGACCACAATTTTTGCCATTTCTCTAAATCAATCCCATATCCAAAATTCTTCCCCCAAGCAATCAGAGTTTCTTTAACTTGTTCTTCTTCTAATTTAATTTCTAATAAATATCCATACAATTTTTTAATCACCTTTTCATCAGGACCTGTCAAAATCTTATCTAAATCAGTCAATTTATCATAGAAACCTTCTGTTTTAGAATCTTTGTCATTCTTTGAATGTATTTGCGCATATGAAAACCAATTCATCTTTATACCTTGTTCCTCTAATTTTTGCATAGATTTAAGTTCACCCTTTTCATTCAATATTTCACCATATCTAACTGTTTGTTCCTTTTTGTATATTATAGGATAAGAAAATGCTTCAATAGTCGATAGCCAGACTGGAATTTTCAAATAACATTGTCTTTTAATCTTCTCCCAGTTTAACCACAGAGACTCCCGTATATAATGTCTTCTAAAATACCCCTGTGTTTTAGTTCCTTTATACCATAAAAAAGCATGCCACCCCAACAACAAATCATGTCCTTCTAATGTCAACAATCTAGTATTTCTTAGTGTTATCCATTCCTTACCCCACATCAGATCTGTGGCTTGATAATACAACTCCCAATTAGGCAAACCAAATCCTCCTCTAATTCTAGCATCTTGCAAAAGTTTTAATTTTATTCTCGCTTTCTTACCTTGCCATACATATTTCAACACAATTTTATTTAAATCTTCAAAGTAATCTTTTCCAAGCCTAATTGGAATTGTTTGAAACAAATATAAAATTCTGGGTAATATATTCATCTTGATTGTTGAAATTCTCCCTATTAGTGACAGTTGTAAATTTTCCCATTTCACCAGATCTAGCGCTATCTGCTGTTTAAGTTTGATATAATTATTCTCTTTTAATGTACTACATCTTGCTGTCAAATATATCCCCAAATACTTGATCTTATTCGTGACCTGAATTTTAAATAGGTCTGCCAGTTCTTCCTTTTGTCTTAATAGCATATTCTTTGTCAAGATCTTTGTCTTATCTTTATTTTCAAACCAGCCACCTTTCCATATGATGTCTCTATCTTTTCTATCAATTTTGATGCTGTTTCTAAAGGGTCTTCTAAGATGAAAACCAGATCATCTGCAAATGCTTGCAGCTTAAATTCTTCCTTTTTGATTTTCATTCCTTTTATATTCTTTTCATCTCTAATATTTCTGTTTAGCACTTCCAAAGTTAACACAAACAACAAAGGTGATAGTGGGCACCCTTGTCTTGTTCCTTTTCTTATATTGATAGAGTCTGTCAGTTCTCATTACCTTTGCCGTTTGCTTATAGTGTATAGCTTCTATTGCTTGAATAAATTTTCTAGCAAAACCCATCTGTTCCAACAGTAATAACACGAATCGTCAATTCACATTATCAAATGCCTTCTGTGAATCTTGAAATATCGGAGCCATATATAAAATATAATATAAAATATTTTCTTTTTACCTTTCATTTTTTAGTACCAAACTGCAAGCCATACAAGAATCAAACTCTAATTCGTGAAAATGAATGTATATCTTCGGAAACTGTTGAATTGACCTACTGTGAAGGAACTTGTCTAACCTCTTCAGTGTAAGTTACAAGGAGGCCTATCATACTCTTTAAATATTCATTCCTCTTCTGGGTAATGTGATATTCGTAAAATATCTTCATTTGCTTTTGGAGACAAGAGCCCTTTTCAATTTGCTGGTTGATTGTGTTGGATTGTTTTGATGATTGGGCGGCCATGTGCATTTTTAATCATTCTGACAAACTATTTGTTGGAGTTTTTAACCTCTACAGTAATCCCCAAGACTTATTTGAGATGGGCAGTGTAAAAATGCATGTAATAAGTTACGTTTTACCAAAGTATCTAACTTTTTTTTTCCACCTGGACAGGTATTCCCTAAAGGAAAAAGCATTTCAGCATAATTGTAATTGTTGCCAAGAGTCCAAGAGCCATAAAAAAGAAGTAACCTTAACATGTCTGAATGGCACAACCATCATTTATGACTATTTATATGTGGATGAGTGTAAATGCAGCAGTGGATGCAACTTCGAAGCTCCAGCCAGCTAGAAGAAGAATTTTTTAAATTTTTCTTAGTCCAAAATAAATCCAACAATCACTCATCAGAAATCAGTCATCATCCAGTGCTACGTCTGATCTCTCCCTGTGTCCTTGAACCAGATGTTTTTCTATTGGCCAGTTATTTAATCAAATTAATGTTCTTTTTCATGTAAAAATAAAATTACATTCATTCTGGCAAACTTTCAAAATGAGAGCATTCTCCTTCGAAGGTTTTTCTCTTTAGAAAACCTTCCAAGTATTCCTAACATAATGACAGAAATGTATAATATTATAATGTAGAAAATTAAATTCTTATATGTCCATGCTTCTCTTGCTTTGCTGATTTTTGAGGGAAGGCAGGGGTTACAAGTCTTTAAACAACGCAATATAATCTGCAAGCGTAAACCTCTGTATAGCATCAATACTTAACTTGCTTTCCCATTTAATTCTGCTTTTTTGAGATTAATAAACAATACTTAAACAAGTTCACCTGGTAAATCTGTTGTTTTCATTCATCCATCTATTAAAGTCAAACTATCACATTGTGATAACTTACTGTTGAATTATATAAAAAGAGCAGGGCAGCCCTTTGCAACTAGTAACCTCTAGAAGGAGTTACATAATTTATTTAATTGTGATCAATAATCTGCAAAATAAAAACATACAACAAACAATCCAGTGTAACATGAACAGTGTAATGGTCATATGAATTGTAAAAATTAAGATTTAAAAAACTGAGAAAGAGAAAAATTGAATATAATACAATCAACAAGATAAAACTTAAGATAAATAGAAATACATAAAATTACATAAAAATGCAATAACATCAAAGAGTAAAGACAGATTTCTTAATGCTATCATGATAAAATAGGGGAATGTTATGCTTTTCTACGAATAGAGTAGAATTCTTTTTTTATTGGCCAAGTGTGATTGGACACACAAGGAATTTGTCTTCGGTGCATAAGCTCTCAGTGTACACAAAAGATATAAATGATGAGTCATGATCATAGTCATCGTAAATAGATTCATCATGAATCATAAGATACAACACTTAGTGATAGTTGTAAGATACTAAATAAGCAATCAGAATCATACTAGGAAACTAAATAAATCAATATAAATCATAAGATACAAGCAACAAGGTTATAGTCATAAGTAGAAAAAGAGATAGGTAAAAGGAAGGATGAGAAGATTAATAGTAATACAGTTTTAGTAAATAGTTTGACAGTGTTGTGGGAATTAATTGTTTAGCAGAGTGATGGCATGTGGGGAAAAACTGTCCTTATGTCTAGTTGTTCTGATGTGCAATGCTCTATAATGTCGTTTTGAGGGTATAAGTTGAAACAATCTGTGTCCAGGATGTGAGGGTCTGTAGATATTTTCATAGCCCTCTTTTTGACTCATGCAGTATACAGGTCCTCAATGGAAGGCAGGTTGGTACCAATTTTTTCTGCAGTTCTGATTATCTGTTGAAGTCTGTGTCTGTCTTGTTTGGTTGCAGAGCCAAACCAGACTGTTATACAGGTGCAGATGACAGACTCAATAACTCCTCTGTAGAACTGTATCAGCGGCTCTTTGGTCAGCCTGAGCTTCCTGAGTTGGTGCAGAAAGAACATTCTTTGTTGTGCTTTTTTGATGATGTTTTTGATGTTAGGTGTCCGTTTTAAGTCTTGAGTCTGAGACATTATAGAACCTAGAAACTTGAAAGTATCTACGGTTGATACTGTGTTGTCTGGTATTGAAAGAGATGGTAGTATAGGAGGGTTTCCTCAAAAAATCACTACAAATAGAAAATGTGGGCAGTGGTAATATTTCAGGTTCATTCTCATCACAAACACAAGGTCCATCAATCAGAGGGATCATATAATACCATAGAATATTTGTAGCTCAGGACTATAGGATCTTTGGTGTTCTCTGAGCTATGGGACACCAAAGATAGCACTTTAGACTTATATACCACTCCACTGTGCTTTATAGCACTCTCTGAGCAATTTACAAATGTCAGCACATTGCCCACAACAATCTGGGTCCTCATTTTACCAACCTCAGAAGGATGGAAGGTTGAGTCAACCTTGAGCCCATCAGGATTTAACTCCTGGCACCGGGCAGAGTTAGTCTGCAATACTGCATTCTAACCACGGCACTACGGCACAGGGAAAACTAGTATTGTCAAGAATGAAGCACTAAAATGAGACAAAGAAACAAGATTAAATACTTTGCAGGTAGTCCTTGATTTACAACCACAATTCAGCCCAAAATTTAGGTTACTAAGTGAAACATTTGTGAGTTTTGCCCCATATTACAACCTTGCTTGCCAGAGTTGTTAAGTAAATCACTGCAATTGTTAAGTTAGCAACACAGTTAAGTGAATCTGGGTTCCCCATTGATTTTGTTTGTCAAAAGGAGAATCACATGACTCTAGGACACTGCAACTGTAATAAATATGAGTCAGTAGCCATGCGTCTGAATTTTAATCACATGACCATGGGGAGGAAGCAATGATTGTTCAGCTGGAAAACGGTCATTAGTCACTTTTTGCAGTGCCATTGTAACTTTGAACGGTCACTAAATGAACTGTTGTAAGTTGAAGATTATCTGTAAAAACATTTTCCAGGTTGCAACCACCACCAAAGGATGGCTGTAGCATCCAAATTCGTCTACTGCTGGGGCATCAAGCTGGCAGTCTGTGGGCCGGATGCATCACGCACAGGCCATGCCCACCCCAGCTCCGTGAAGGGGAAAAGCATCACATAACATGACATGGCGAATTTAACACCCTTGATCTACCATGTAGTGTCAAAGATTATTTGATGGATTTCAGCTTTATTTCTTTTTAAATCAAGGGATAGCAGAGACTAGATTGAAAGGCCACAATAATCACTGAATTAAATGAATAATCAGAAAAGGTTTTCTTTCTTTTCACCTTGAGGAAAAGCCATGAAAAACCATTAATGAGACCAAGGTGACTTTGGAAAACAGGAATTTAAGTCAACAAGATAATGAACTTTTTCTCCCAACGGAATCATGTCAGTTTTCATGTTGATTAAAGCAATTGAAACACAGGTGACTGCAGAAGAGTACATACAACAATCTATCTTGAGCAATTTCAGGGATTTTGAATCACTGTAGGCACATAACTCTGCATGATACAGCATTTGGGATATAGATATGGCAAATTAAATCTGTTTAAAAAGCTTGATGGTGACAGGTAGGCATTTGCTCCTTTAGAATGAAAACAAAACGAACAGGCTTGCCTTGACACTATTATTAGCTTTGGCAGAAATACAATTGTTCATGCCAAGCTCCAGAGGCCTGAAAAATTCTGCCAACGTATTTAAAAACTGGAGCTTCTTCAAATTTTGATGTTACACAATTTGCCTTTGATGTTTGTGATAAGAGGAAACCCAAGAAAACCACAATGTTGATCTCAAGAGTGATTGATTGTAAGCCCTCACTTCTTACAGAGTTCTGCTAAAGCCGGTCAACTTCTCTCAAAACCCACTGAAAAAGTGACTGCATCAGCAGCAAACAGCAGTGCTGGCAGATGCCCAGTTTAATGGATGGGGTCCCTTTTTGGTTAAAGTAAATACTATTGAATTCACAGGCATATTAAACAATAGGAGAGCTAGAAAAGAATCCAATTTTATTGCTTGATGGATTGGAAGCAAAGTTATTATTCCTCCTCACCCCCACCAAAGATTACACCAAACCTTAAAATTTCTGACAAACTGGAAATCCATAGATTCTTTTTTGTCCCCTAAAACCATTTTCCTTCCATCCAATACTCTTTAATTCTCTAATGCATTCCACTTATTGTTGCCTCTATGTGTCTATCTTGTTAAAAGTAGTTGACATCTATTTTATTAGCACTTACTATATGGCCAATATCATCTGCCTCTTTCCAGTGTGACCATAATTAATAGATTTGGTTGTATTTTCAAGCAAATCATGTAATTGTCATCCAGTTTTGACCTAATCTTAAGGTCATATGTTCGGTTCATAATAGATGAAGCAATGAACAAAGTTTCAGATTTGAAACTGAATGGCCAAGTTCATAAAAGTTGTTTTCCAAACTGCTGCCCATATCAAACCTGGTGATTGGCACACACTTCTTCCTGAAAACATTCTGAAACAGCCACAAACAAAATTGAAATCACCCATTATCCGATGTGTATGGAAACAAATTTTCATCTTTCTGTCCCCCGCAATCCCTTTCACAAGGTTACAAAATGCCCATGATTTTGTAAAGGCCATAGCAACAAAAGATGCTGTGTTGTGAATCTATGCTGAAAGGCTTCCCCCCCCCCTAGAAATACAAGCACAATGCAACACTTGCAATCCAGATGTTTGCTCACAACTCACTCATTACTTATACTGCATTAATTAAGCTCCCCTGATTTTCCAGCTGGTCTAATGGTTGTGTCTGGTGAGAGTTGGTCACAGAATTACAAGGCTTCAATTTAAGAATTCTTCCATCTTGATCTGAGCTAGTCAGTTATGTTGTTCCTTCAACAGAAAGTAGGTAGAGTTAAGTTCCTTGCTGAGCTAACTGATAAATATGTAGGGTTCTTTCTTGCCTCAAAAGACATCAGTCCTTATGATATTGGGCTATGTCCTGAAGTCTATCAGAAGAAATTTGTTCGCTTTTTTTGCCATCATAATTTAGTCAGCCAACCTGACTAAAATCTGAGCGCAATATAAATGGTACTGTTTTTACTTTAGTAAAGCATAGCTAACACATTTTGACTGATTTTGAACACATTTCTACATTTTCAGATTCTTTTCAGCAAACAGTTTTAAAAGCCATTAACAAAAATATTTCAGGCATAACTGAGGCTTCGATTTTTGGCAGGTTTTATGAGAATCATTTAGATTCCAAGGATACTGAATTTCTTGACAGCAGAAAATCTGATCATCTTTGGATGAACAGTATAAATGAACTACTGTAGGTAAGATAAATAGGTAAAATAAGTACCAAGGTTACTAAATTTCCTTCCAGGTCGAAGCTCTCTTCAACAGCCAATCATTCATTCAGCAAAATGCAATGAAGACCTTATTTTCCTTCAGCCTTAAATTGCTAACATTTTGCTTAAAGCCTTAAATAGACAGCATAAGTCATGCTTCCCAACCTGATGATGTGCTAATGGCATCAACTTTCATAACCCTCAAAGATGCCACTCTAAAAAGCCCACCTTGGGCACGAGGCTGGGCAAATTGCAGCAATATCAAAATTCACAAATTTGAAAGGAATGAATACAACTCCAACTTGTTAATTTGTTTCATTTCTTCAGCTAACTATTCACATTTACACTCCATGCACATGGCACATGAATGTCATTTACAACTGCTTACCGCAAATGGTCATTTACTTAAACTAACTGTTACAAACTTAGAACAGTGTCTTAAACACTGAGAAAGAAACAGGAATATTACCAGTAGAGTTGTAGGCAGCTGGTTTTATCAAAACTGTAGAAGGGGTTAAAAG